CAGTGTGTATGCGTGGAGGGCTTCCGAGGCCCCGACTGCGCCATCCAGACGTGCCCAGGGGACTGCCGGGGCCGCGGAGAGTGCCGCGAGGGCAGCTGCGTCTGCCTGGAGGGCTATGCGGGGGAGGACTGCGGGGAAGGTGAGCTCGGCCTTTCCAGTTTGCTCCTCGGGGATGGGACCTGAGCCGGGGAAGGCTGGGCCCCGGGCCTAGGAGCCCAGCTGCTGGAGGAAGAGTGGAGGGAGGTCATATATGCGGGGAGCCAGTCCACCAGGGGCAGGGGAACCAGGGTGCACGCCTGCAGCAGGACCTGCTTCAGGTACCTGATGAGCAGGCGGGGCCTCCTGGGTTGCTTTTACTAGTAGGGAGATTCTGTGTTCCTGGCGCTGGGGGAAGCAGGGCCTGCTCTGACCTCTGCTAACTGCCCCACCCCCACGGGGCAGTGTGAGCTGGGACTGATCTCAGTGCAGCCTGTGATGTGGGCATCAGGTGGGGCTGCCTTGGGCTAACCAGAGTCTATATCCCATTCTCGTGGGCAGAGGTGCCAGCCATTGAGGGCATGAGGATGCATCTCCTGGAGGAGACGACGGTTCGGACAGAGTGGACCCGGGCTCCGGGCCCGGTGGATGCCTATGAGATTCAGTTCATCCCCACGGTGAGAGCCACGCCAGGAGGGGCTGCGGGGCCAAGAGGGGCTGCAGGGAGGCCGGGGAGGGGCTCACCGTGCAGGTCCTTCCAGGTCATCAGTGGTTGAGTGCAGACAGCTGGGCCCCTGAAGCTGCTGTGAGGTCTGGTCCTGCCCACATGGGCGCAGAGCCTTCCAGCAGCTGGCCCACTGCTGCTGGGACACCTCTGGCCGCGGAGCTCAGTTCTCTGAGGCTGTCCCGTGCTGCGTGGGGCATCACTGTTAGGCAGTCTTCCTGCTGACGCCGAGTCCAAATCGGCCCCACTTCCACGCCCACCAGTGGCCTCACCACAGCCAGGGACCTGCTCCGCCTGCCCTGCACCCTGCACCACGGGCTTTCGGGGGGCTGGAGACGTGGGCATCACGTCGCCCTTCATTCTCACGGGCAGATCCCGCTGGTTCCTAGGACTCTGGTCTTGAATGCTGCACTCCCAGAGTTCCCTCTTCTAGTGCCTCTCGCTTTGTGCATTTGTTGCTGAAACATGAGAGCAGAAAAGAGCCCAGTCGCTCACTGGCTAACTCTGGAGACCCAGGTATTTTTCTCAGAGTTGACATGTGTTAACTTGTGGTCAGACTGTCAGCTGTTTTGATCATATTTGTTTTTCAAATAAACTTTTTGTTATAAAACGTATATAGACAGTGTAGGAACTTTAGAAAACATCCTATATAATAAAAAGCTAATATGCAAATTGACCAAACAGGGAATGACCCATTGCTATGATGCGCACTGACCACCAGGAGGCAGACGTTCAATGCAGGAGCTGCCCCCTGGTGGTCAATGCACAGCAGTGGTGGCGGGAGCAGCCTACAGGCAGCGCTAAGGATGTCTGACTGTTGGCCATCAGTCGGACATTCCCCCCCCCCACCCCGAGTGCATGAATCTTGTGCACTGGGCCTCTAGTACAGTGATGGCAAACCTTTTGAGCTCGGCGTGTCAGCATTTTGAAAAACCCTAACTTAACTCTGGTGCCGTGTCACATATAGAAATTTTTTGATATTTGCAACCATAGTAAGACAAAGATTTATATTTTTGATATTTATTTTATATATTTAAATGCCATTTAACAAAGAAAAATCAACCAAAAAAATGAGTTCGCGTGTCACCTCTGACACGCGTGTCATAGGTTCGCCGTCACTGCTCTAGTAGATAAATAAGGAAAAAAGAAAGGAGAAAGGAAAAAAGACAGCATTGAACTATATTCACTTTTTTAGCCTAAATATAGGGCTTGGCAGTTGGCTCTGTTCAATGTTATCTTTTTCGGTTTGGGCCAGGCTGCCCAGGCTGTTGCATGACTTGGAGTCTGTGAAGTGGTTCCCGCCTCAGTGCCTTGCAAAGCAGCCTTTCTCTGTCTCCTTCCAACTCGCTCTTAAAGTATGTGGGGGCACCCTAAGGACAACGCCTTCGGCCTCTCGTATCAGCACCTCCCTCCATGCCTTCGTGCCCTTTCATGATGTGTTTGGTCTCCCAGCCCCAAATCATCTGACATTTCTACTGTCCAACTCATGTTCTCCTGCACCGCCCCACAAATGTCGTGGTGCGTAGGCCATGTCACCCTCATCTCTGCCCAGCCAGGACTCTGGAAGCATAAATAACTCCCAGGGCCCAAACCCAAGGAAGGTTCGGGGACAGAAGGGGCAGCGCCGAGGTGCCGCTGCCACCCCACCCCACTGGCCCGGCGATTCTTGCCCCCAGGCCAGCCCCTGCCGTGTTCTGTCCCTCCTCACCCCCGAGAATGGCGGAGATAGAAGCCCTTTGCTGTAGAACCAGGATAGCTGGGCGTTTTTTTCTTCTGTTTTAGACAATTTTTTCTTGGTATAAAAATAATTTAATCACAAGACAAGAATTTGGCAACTAGAAAAAAACACAAATAATTCCTGGCTGCTTCACACTAAAATAACACTGTTAACATTTTTAAGTGTTTCTCCCACTCTCTTCTCTGTGTATATTATTTACATAGTTCTCATCTTGAGAGGGTGGGACTTTTAGAAGGAACTTTCCAAAGAAACTTGAGGGAAAGTGGAATTAAAATAAGCACTTGAGATGGAAGGAGCGTGCAGGGCAGCACAGTCCCCCAGTCGCGAGATACAGCCCACTCCCGGGTGTTCTCAAGAAGCGGGGCTTCCCAGCGAAGCCCTTGGCTTCCTCCCTCACCACGGGGCTGGGTGGCGCTGAGCTGGCTGTGCCCGGCGTGGCCACGCTGTCAGCTCATGTGCTCTGCTCTGGGTTCGGTCCTGTCACATTCCGGTTCTGTCTGAGCCCGGGTGTGAGGGACGCGCCTGTAAACTTGGACCCCAAGTGCTCCTATTGGGCTCCCCGTAGCCTGTGCTGCCGGCCTGCACACTATACTCTCTGCACCCTCTGTGGCTGGCCCCTGGAGTCGCGCCTCCCGCCTTGGCCAGTGCTCTCTGTCCATTTCTGTTGGCACAGGATATATTCTGGCCACTGCCATCTTCCTAGAAGCCTGCCTGTCTCTACCTTCCCAGAAGCACTTTCCTCTTGGAGCTCACACTCTGCTAATCCTGGCCAAGGACACGCCTCGCTATTGGGATGATTTTCGGAACACCAGAGAGGAGCAGTCTTCTCTCTGTATAGTGGCATTGTTATGCTGACTTAGTGGTTCTCAAAGTGTGTTCCCTGGATCTGCAGCATTGGCACCACCTGGGAGCTGGTTAGATGTGCCAAGTGTTGGATCTGACAGTGGTGCCAGATCTACTGACTCAGCAGCTCTGCAGGTGGAGCCCCACAACCTGTGTTGCAACCAGCCCTCCAGGTGGTTCTGATGCACCCCAAACCTGAGGACCACTAACTTAAGGAATGTTGCTATTTTGCAAAATGCTGGCTCCTCGATGAGTGAGAGAAAGCATGAGGAAGCTGAGGGCGGTGACCCGGAGCAGGAAGAGGTCCATGTAGTCCTTGTCTGGGTGTATTCTGCAGCCTGGGGACCAGGGCTACGCCAGTTGTCATTGGGACACAAGACCTTGCAGCCTCAGAAAAGTTTGTATTTGAGTTTGGTCTGAAGAGGGGGATGAGGGGGAGGTAAGCTCCAAGAACCAGCCAAGGTGGAGTCCCCCACCTGGGGCTACAAGGTTGATTTCAAGAATAGGGCTAGAAACTAGCCAAGGACAATCAGTGAAGCAGCCTCGCTTTTACAAGGGCAGCGCCACCTGGCAGCATCTGGCTAGAGAGCCTGCCTCAGACCGGCCCGATGTGCTGATGGCGGGACCCTCAGGGAACTGTTCCGGAGTGGGTCTCAGGGGGGACTAAGGTGTAAAAAGGTTCGTGTAGATGATTTGAAGGGAGAAGGAGATGTTGGGATGGGCCTGTCTCGCTGAAAGGACAAGCCATTACAGGCATCGTTAGGGAGCAGCCAAGGTGTGTGTGAGTGAGTGTATGAGTGGGAGTGTGTGTATATGGGTGTGAATGTGTGTGTGAAAGTATGTGAGTGTATATGAGTGTGAATGTGTGTGTGAGTGAGGGTGTGGAAGTGTGAGGGTGTGAGTGTAAGTGTGAGCGTGTGTGTGTGGTGGGTTGGGGGAATAAAGGGTGACAGAGTTAAGTCATGGGAAGGATGAGGATTCCATAGGCCTTTAGTTGAGGTCAACCCCAGGGCTCCTAGGTGGGGTATCCTAGGGCGGGGTGAGCAGGAGCGGGTCGGGGTCCTATGTGCCCAGGACACCTTTTCAGCCAAGAAAACTCCGACAAAGCTTTATTCACCCTCAACCTAGAAATCTCTGCGTGGCCTCTCATGGGGTTCGATACTTTGCTGTTTTCTGTGTTGGTTCCCCACCAGTTCTGCTGGTTTAGGAGAGTACCTTTTGAAATTTCCAATCCTACTTGGCTGACTGGAGGTGTCCCCATTACAGCCAACATAGCTCAGCGGAACAGAGCGTCCTCCTCGGCGGTCCAAGCTGGACGGCCCGGGAGATGTGGGGCGGTTGGGCTGCTCACAGATGTCCAGTTCCTTGTCCCCTGCGGCTGGCACCCCAGGACACCCTGTCTGCGCAGGGGCCGGCAGCTTTCCTGTGGGGTCCCCGTGGATCTTGAGAGACCTCAGACGTACACTTGGAGGAGGGTTGTTCCTCCCCGGCATGGACCACACGTAGAGATTTGGTTTAGGCTCCAGTAAAACTGAACCCGTGGCCATGCATTTCGCCTCCAGAGCATGAGCTGTCTGAGGACAGGGGCCGCACCTTCTGTTTTTGTGTCTCCATGCCCAGCACGGCGCAGGTACGAAACCGGGGGACGTTTGTGGAACTCTGAGCCGACGGGCCTTTTTGTGAGGAGACAAGAGAAGTGCCTGGAGGACAGGGGTCACGCCCACATTGCACAGCGGGGCAGGGTCTGCGGGAGGCTCAGGCTGGGCAGATGGTTAAGGAGGAAGTGAGGCCTGAGGGGCATCCCTGTCCCCTTCATCTGTCCCGACCAGAGTGAGCTGAGAAGCCCGTCCGCCAGGAAGTCAGGGCTGCAGGGCTGTGCGGTGGCATCTGGCAGACAGCTGATGGACGGCCTCTGAGCCCACTGCCCGGGGCCCCGTGAGCTCACGCACATACAGGGCCTCGGACAGGAGATGCCTGGAGAAGGTGTCCCAGGCGTGTTGCTGTCACCGGCCGGGCTCCCTGCTGTCAGGGCCCAGTTCTGCACAGGCCCAGCTGACACCGCTTGGAGCTGGAGTCGGGAGAAGGGGGATTGAGTGGCAGGGCAGAGTGCCAGCCCTGACCCACCCGGTGCTCTCTCTCCTGCAGCCAGAGGGCGCGAGCCCGCCGTTCACTGCGCGGGTGCCCAGCTCTGCCTCCGCCTATGACCAGAGAGGACTGGCCCCCGGGCAGGAGTACCAGGTCACTGTCCGCGCCCTTCGAGGGACCAACTGGGGCCCTCCTGCCTCCAAGACCATCACCACCAGTGAGAGCAGGGGCTGTGGGCGGGTGGAGATGAGGGGGGTAGCCAGGACTCTGCCCTCCAGGAGGGTTTGGATGGGTTCGGGGCGGGCTGGGGTGGGACAACGCTCTTAGAAGGAAAGCTGGGGGCTGAAGAAGCAGACCCCGCCTGATCCCCCTCTCTCTCACCCGGCTAGTGATCGATGGCCCCCAGGACCTCCGGGTGGTGGCCGTGACGCCAACCACACTGGAGCTCAGCTGGCTGCGCCCCCAGGCCGAGGTGGACCGATTCGTGGTGTCCTACGTCAGTGCTGGCAACCAGAGGGTGCGGCTGGAAGTGCCCGCCGAGGCGGACGGGACACTGCTGACTGACCTGATGCCAGGCGTGGAGTACGTGGTGACCGTCACCGCGGAGCGGGGCCGGGCAGTGAGCTACCCGGCCTCTGTCAGGGCCAACACAGGTATGGCGCCAGGGCGTCGGGAGGCCTGGTTTCTGAGTGTGGAGCCCCTGCCTTGGGAGCCCCGTAAGGCTCGCAGCTCCCCTGGGTGCACCTGGCAGGGCGCTGGCAGCGCCAGGTCCCGGAGGCAGGCTGCCGCCCCTGACAGCAGTGAGCAGGAGCTGCCGCCACCCTCCGGATGGGGAGCCACCCTCTGAAATGGGGACCCTCCTGTAGTGGTCAGACGTGTGGGGACTAGAATTAGGCAGCGCGGAGACCAGCCTCGGGTTGGCTTTAGGGCCGCGTTGGGGGTGAGGTCTCATGGCAGCAGCTCCCACTAACCTAAGGTCTCCTGACAGATGCCTGCACCTCTTTCCCTGCGGCAGAGGGACACCGCTTGCTGTGGCCCCCGCTCTCCTCCCGCTCCCCGCTCCCCGTCTCTCCTTCAGACACCGCCCCGCCGCCGCGGGCTTCTCTTCTCTCTAGGGCACCGCAGTGGCTGGAGGGCGAGGGGTGAGGGCCCTGGGACACTAACTCCTTTCTCTCGTGCTCCTTCCAGGTGGGGCTGGGGCCAGGGATCCGGCCTCGGCTCGGCTCCGGCGGGAGGGACAGGGCAGCC